CAATAAAAATATCGGTATCGGTACTCGGTATCGGCAAGTACCAAAAATAAAAGTATCGTATCGGGCGAGTACTGGAAAAAGTGGTATCGGTGCATCCCTACTTGCCATAATGGATGGAAGCATGAATTCTGCGCTCTATCAGAAAATCCTGAAGGAGAATGTCCAGCCGTCAGTTTGTGACCTCAAGCTCAAGCGCACTTGGGTTATGCAGCAGGACAATGATCCTAAACACACCAGCAAGTCCACCTCTGAATGGCTCAAGAAAAAACAAATTAAGGTTTTGAAATGGCCAAGTCAAAGTCCGGACTTGAATCCGATTGAGATGCTGTGGCATGACCTTAAACAGTCCATTCATACTCGAAAACCCTCCAATGTTGCTGAATTAAAACAATTCTGCAAACAAGAGTGGGCCAAAATTCCTCCACAGCGATGTGAAAGACTCATTGCCAGTTATCGCAAACGTTTGATTGCAGTTGTTGCTGCAAAGCGTGGCACAACCAGTTATTAGATTTAGGGGGCAATTACATTTTCACATAGGGCCAGGCAGGTTTGGACAGCTTTTTTCCCTTAATTTAAACAGTCCATTCATGCTCAAACCCTCCAACGTGGCTGAATTAAAACAATTCTGCAAAGAAGAGTGGGCCAAAATTCATCCACAGTGATGTGATAGACTCATTGCCAGTTATCGTAAATGCTTGATTGCAGTTGTTGCTGCAAAGAGAAAATACAAAAAATGTATAGATAAATACAAAGACAGACACATAAAAGTAATTTATGAATTTACTTTATTATTGCATGTAGTTAGTAGCAAATTACAATTAAAATATAGTGAATTACGATATTATATAAAGTAATAATTATAAAATATTTAATAAAATAAAGCAATATTTCTAAAAATATTACATTATATTACGATGTATTACATTATATTAAATTATTATATTATTAATTAATGTGAGTGTTTAAGCAGGTGAAGACCTGATAACCTTTTAGATAAAACTAATATTTCACTTACAATATTTCTTTAAATCGTTCTGTTTACAATATGTTTTGGTCAGACAAAACTCATATCTTTGCTGTATGGGCAAGTGAGCTTCCAAACAAAGAGAATCCAGCCATCTGGAGCTGTTACATCACACTCATTGTGATTAAAATAGAAAGATTTGTGTGTGTGTGTGTGTGTGTGTGTGTGTGTGTGTGTGTGTGTGTGTGTCTTTGAGCGGGGCAGAATCAAAGATTAAAGGCTAATCATTTGAAGTTATGGTGCATTTTCACGCCGCTTCGACACACTGACATGCCTCACAGTGCCGCAGTACATCTTCCTCTCAGACATAACAGCCTTTAGAACTTGTATACTCATGCATCACTGTATTATGTGGATGGATATATGGCCAATATTAAAGCTCTGTACTGTAATTATGATGAAGTCAGCCGTGTGTCTTACATTTTGTCTAGCAAGGCAAATCTCCTTCATTGGAGCTTTGGAAACTCATCAAGCATTTGGACAGATTCCACAAAGAAAGGAAAAAGGTGTACGCCCGGCCATTTCTTTCTCTTTATGACAGGCCATTAAACAAACATAATAGCCAAATTAAAATCCTGTCATCCTCCACAGCACTTATGAAGTTAAGCTAAAAGAAGATGAAGCCAAATGAGATTGAGCAGGTTACAGGTTAAATCCTCGGCTTAAACCATGACACTACACCCAATTTACTATATAATCTAATATCACTGCTTTGTCATATTAATATTATTTATATTATATTCATATTTATTATATTACTATTAACTATTTATAATAATGACTAATATTTATTATTGTATTAATGAGCAATAAAAGCATATATAATATTAAAACAAATATATAAATAATACTGTAAATAAATAATATTACTTTATTGTATTATTATTTTAGGATAATATTACAATTAATTTATAATATGTATAATTTATTATTATTATAGTAGTAGTAGTAGTAGCAATAACACATTTTATAATAACACATTGCATTTAGTATTATTTTATATTAATATTATAATTAATTGTATAATATTTATAATTTACTTATAATGTAGTTACGATGCTGTAATTAATATTATAATTATTTTAAATCAGTAATAAATAGTAATAAAATATGTATTATAACAAATATTCATTTAATATTATTATTATTATTATTAAAGTCTAGGGCAAAGGATGATTATTGACAGTAGTAGCAGAAGTAATAACAATAATATTACATTTTACATTATGTTTTATTATTATTTTATATTCATATTATAATTAATTGTATAATATTAAAAATGTACTTTTAGTTACGATATTGTAATTAGTATTATAATTATTTTAAAATAGTATACCTTTTACATACTAATAAATGTTATATGAATATTATTGTTGTAATATTCTTTTTTGTTAAAATAGTAATACATAGAATAATAAAAAGATATAATATCAAAATGAATATTCATTTATTATTATTTATATATAGTCTATAGCAAAGGATGAATATTGCCATTAGTAGTAAGGCAAGGTAAGTTTATTTATATAGCACATTTCATACACAATGGTAATTCAAAGTGCTTTACATAAAAGAAAAGAAAGAAATAATCACAACAATAAAA